TCGTTACTTCTACTGCGTCCCTCTCGACCCTTCTTGCTAAACTATCTCATCTATTATCAATCTTCATGCCTCCAAAGTGAAACCGGTCGAATATATCATCAGTCGTGAACAAACGGAAGTTACCGGCGACTCTGATTAATGAAACTCGGAACAAGCTTACTCTGTGACAGGAATCTACCCACCGGGCAACATAATGCTTCTTACTCGACTGATTGCCAGATTGACCGTCTTTCAGCATTCTCGGTTACGGCACATTATTCGTGCGCGACACCGGTGCGCCGTCGTTCAAGCTGGCGTTTACGATCAACTGCTTTTCACTTGAAAGCACAAGGTCCGTATATTTATTAAAAGCCTTTCCTGAGTGATTAATCCCACGAGGAAAAACGAAGATGGAGCTGAAACACACTGACTCGGTGGGAGAAGTGATTAACGTGGACGAACAGTTTTAAGCAGTGAAAGATAGCCATGAGCATGCATTCGGCTTTGGTTAGGCATTGCCAGAAAGATGAGTAAATCTCAGACAGACGGCAGCAGTTATATCGAAAACCGCGGCTGGTTCAATGATAACCTCGGCTAAATGACCAGTTTCGGCGAACTGTTCACCTACAGACACCACCACAGATTAGGTTCAAAGTGCTATAGCTAATTCATACGATTTTCGCAGTAGAACCTGCGGCATTAGTAACTGCACCTAAGACTCCTATAACAGGTCCCATAGACAAGAACACTGTCTACCTAATTACTGAATTGATCGGTACATTCTTTCAGCCTACGATTCAGGCAGAGGGTTCACATGCACCCTTACCGCAGTTAGTTCAGACGGATCAAATAGTCTGGGGATGTAAACATTGGATTGAGTACTTTGATCGTATGAGCAACTTCTCCAAACCTCCGCAGGTAGATTCAGAAGGAACAATGGTCTAGGCGGATAGTGAAATCTCGTGGTTCATTAACTTAAACGAGCAAGTATATTCATCTGACCACAAATTATCACGCTGGAAAGCACCAATTGGGTGGGTTACCCATTCTCGGGTGGAGAGGATTTCAAGGGCGACCTCGTCACGAGACCCCACCGAAATTAAACTAGCCAGCTACCACGCGTCGGACCTCAGCATGTTGGGAACGGAGCGCGCCTACAAATAACAAATCAAGTTAGGTTCAACCAACCAGCGACTACTTTGTAGCTAAAACCAATGGGTGCGGTCAAACGCCAAGCTGCTGAAACGGAACAAAAGCAAGCGTCGTAGTTCACTCAGCTGACTATATCTCGCCAAAACGCAAAGCGGATTCTGTAGGTATCATTTATTATAAACTGTATAAAAAATAGTAAGCATAATATTTAGAAATCTTCTTCTGTCGTAAACTTGTGAGTATCTTCGCCACGAGCCCGTGACATCACTCCAGCTCGTTGATAATCTCCAACACGTTTCTCGAAGAAATTAGTCTTGCCTTCTAAAGATATATTCTCCATGAAGTCGAACGGGTTTTCAGCGTTATAATACTGCAAAACGGTTATGGATAACTATGGAACTTACCTTCCCATATCCGAGCTCGACAAGCAAGCGGTCAGCGACAAACTCAACGTACTGGCACATCAACTTGCAGTTCATGCCTATCAGGCTGACAGGAAGAGCGTCCCCGAAGAATTTGTGTTCCACTTCCACGGCATCCTTCATAATCGCGATAGCCCGCTCTCTGGAAGGCTTGTTAACTATGTACTTGAACAGCATGCAAGAGAAATCCGTGTGCAGACCCTCATCTCGACTAATGAGTTCATTACTGAAGGTTAAACCGGGCATGAGGCCTCGCTTTTTGAGCCAAAATATCGCAGCGAAGCTTCCCGAGAAAAATACGCCCTCAACTGCTGCATAGGCCACCAGTCTCTCCCCAAAGGTGGACTTCGTGTCACCAATCCAATTTAGAGCCCATTGGGCCTTGCGTTCCACACATTCTAGGTTTCGTATAGCATTAAACAAGAAGTCACTGAACGATAGAGCAGCAAGTTATCAATTTACCGTTCTTTAGGGTCTTTGATGTACGTGTCTATAAGTAGACAATACATTTCAGAATGGATATTCTCCACGGCAATTTGCATTCCATAAAAGCAGCGCGCTTCAGGAATTTGAACCTCTTGACTGAATCGCTCGAGCAGATTTTCGAGGACGATACCGTCGCTGGCGGCAAAAAACGCCAGGACGTAAGATATGAAGTGGCGCTCTCCCACCTTTAATCGTTCCCAATCGGTCAGATCCTTTGAAAGATCGACTTCCTCAACAGTCCAAAAGGAGGCCACTGCCTTTTTGTAGTATTGCCATATTTCGTTATACTGAATAGGAAAGAGCACAAAGCGAAGGGGATTGGGTTTGAGAAGAGGTTCGGTCTCTAGCTCTTCTTTCGATACTGAACGGGTCTTCTCGTAGGACAACTCCTTATGAGCACGATATTCCGGCAATTTGTCTTTCTGCAAACGTTCGAACGTTAATAACAAAAACTTACAATGAAAATTGCCAAGGGCTCCCCCGGAGCATTCTCTTTGTCAGCATCACCCTCCATCGTTAGAAAATTAAATTTCAGAATGCCCTCCGATGAGAGTGCAACCAAATTTATACATCCCAGCGTGGGTAACAAGTTTCAAGGTCAACAAGTAAAACGATCAAACGGGATGACGACAAACGGTCACATAAGTTGAACGAATTATATATTATCCCTTTTGTTCTTTAAGGGAGTTCGATTAAATGAAACTGTGCTGGAAATGTGAGCTCAATCTCACCTAATTCGAGAGAGTTTGCTGTACTTATGCAATTGTACTAGGTCAGGTCTAGGTTAGTTCAGTTTCCACAGGTCAGGTTAAGCCGGGTCACAGGACTCGCGGCTGATACCAATTTGAGTCTAGGTTCTTGTACCGTGAGCGTGTTCTTATCCTACGTGTGCTTCGTCAATAGGTAATCCGTTGCGAGCCGATCTTGGGCTCCCCGAAGCCGATTTGGGTAACTTTCGGTTCAGGTGCTACTTCTGTAGCTGATACAGTACAAGTCTGAAGAGAGATATCTGCAGAAAAAGAAAAGAGAAAGAATGTCTGCAGCCTAGGTATGCATCTAGCTTAGCGGATTAGTGGGATGAGGCAATGCACTAAAAGGTTTTCTAATTTTGCGGGTATTTGGATATACCCGGCAGGGTGCAAAATACGCTTGTGGAGAAGATCTGAGAGTACGCATTAGGTAGTGTAAAGTGGATGGTACGGTAGGTGAAAGCATTCCTAGGGGTCCCCGGTTCAGCAGATTGGCATCAAACTATGGTCTGTCGACCAAGTTACCCGAGTGGCCTTCCATTCACCTGACTCCGCGTCTCCTGTGTTCATCTTCCAGCACACACATTAAGATATGTTCATGAGCATCCAGGTTGCCGGGGCACTTAATATAGTGGTGGTACACAACAAGTACCCTTTTGACTATTGAGCCATCTGGGTCTGTCTACAGCACGGTAGCATCGCTTCTGTACGACCGCATTTCTTGAAGTCTTGAAGTCACTCTCGGGTTCGGGGCTGGCACCCAATGGTCAGGTCAAGTCAGATTGCACAGGACTGATAAGGGCCATGGCCAATCGAGCGTCCAGATTTCTTCCGCAGTATGTTCACAAAGTGTGCATCTACCACTGCGAATTGCCTTCATTGCAGCTTCCTTGCTGAAAAGAAACGGAAAAGCTCGTCTTTTTTCACTTCATCGACGAACAAGGGATATGGGACACGGTCACGGATCTGTGTACAAGCGAGGGTCTCTTTTCCAAGTCAAGTCAGGTAACACAGGTAGGAAAAGTCTTTCGCCAACCAAGGTTCCAGATTCTTGCTTCGGTAGGAAGGTTACCTCTCCCAAAGCTTCAAGCTGGTTTCGGTCACTGTCTCGCAACGCTTTTCCGGAATGAAAATAGTTTTAGTAAGGTATCTATATAGGATATTAGTTAGGAAACAAGAAGTATGTCATCCCTGATGACCTCAGACCCTGCTTCTATATTACATCGGGGTAAAGTTTGGTTCAAAACGTTTGACTGCCTCTTAAATTCTACTGCATTCCATCAGGTGCCGGGGCAGCTGATTCCATCTTTCAACCACTCTGTTCGTGTAGAAGTTAAAACGTACATCGAGGCGAACCCTTGATTTTAGGAGCTTTCAGCTGTGTCCCCTTGTGACTTCCACGGGCGTTCGAGTGAAAAAACGTTCGGAGCTTGTTGTGGCCTGCGATCGAGTGAAACGTTTAC